CTGTTTTCAGCCTCCCAAGTGCTGGGATTACAATCACTCCCAATCTCAATCTCCATATCAGCATGCCCCGAGGGTGGGGCCAGCATGGCAGGCCGAGGATTGAACCTTGGTCCCTGTGTCTGCCGAGGCAGGTGCTTTAGTTCGCTGAGCTATCTGACAGGCCCTCAGTGGTAAATTTCTAATAATCTTTCATTTCTTAATCTGCCTCACATAATTCTGAAGTACAGTCTACATTGAGGACGTGTCTTTCACAGCTCTTCCCAAGCTGCTCAGCCTAGACTGTCGAGAACAAGGGACCCCAGGGCACCACAAATCCAAGCCACCTTCCAATGCATGCTCAGGTCAACTTAACATGAATTTTATCTGAAGCAAATATCAACTTGTTTAAAGGCAACGTTCCACCCTAACTTTAAAGGATACAGCACATTCATATTAACTCAATTATCTCTTGATTTACAAACACCTCCTCATTGTCCTAAAGGCTCATAATATACATTTCAAAAGATTTGTATAAAATATGAACACGACAGCTTTTGGGGAAGGGGGAAATGATTCTATAGCTTGATATTCGAATCATTCCCAGGTGTTTTTTCCTAAAGTCATTTGGTACTTACTTGTTCAGAAAGGTCCTGCTTTTTCATTTTGGTACCAAGAATTGAACCCACAACCTTGTGCTGCTGAGCTTCATCCCCAGGCCCTCATCTTCCTCTTGACCTCTGCATAGTTTCTTTCAAGCATGTCTCAGGCCTGGTGACTGGAGAGAAGCCAGTGCTGGGTCTGCACGTGGCCTCACCTCTGAGGGCTCACAGCGGGGGAGTGTGGTGCTTCTACTGCTATGGCTTGTGTCCAGATGCCTCCCCCCCCCCACTGCCTCGTGCAGTCAGGTGAGCCTTTTTCAGAGGTGGCTGGCTCTAGAGTGTGGGACCCTGGGGGTGCTTCATGGTGTAATGTAGGCTCAAGGGCACTCAGATCAAGGGTGTGAGCGATACCCTCTCTGACTAGCCTGGATAAAAGGGGAAAAAGACACTGGTAAGTTCCCTCTGTTGCTTTTGCTGTCTTGTGGGTGCCATAAACTGTTTCCTGTGATGCTCCTCTGCCAAGCCACCCTGCTTTGCAGCCAGCCGACTATGAGCTGAAACCCCTACAGTGAGCTAAACAACCCTCTCCTCCTTTTACTTTGGGTGTTGTTGGATATTGTGTCTTGGCCACAGAGAAGCTGCCTATGACATCCACCTACCCCGTTTTCCCTCTTCCAAGGCTCCCCTGCCAGGACCCTGCATCATGCTGTCTGGATCATGCAGGCAAATAATCCCAAGCCCCAACCTTGCACGTCTTGATACGGCAACATGAAACACATGAAGACGCTCTGCCTTCTGCAGCGATCTGGGCCAAGCCCCTCCCCTTCCCGCCCCGTGAAACTCTTCTCAGATCCTTGCAGACGGTAACCTCTCGTACTGTATTCCCATGCGTTTTTGGAGACTGAGACTCCCACTCTGATGTACCCCCTTCTCTCCTACCTGAGCATAACTGCTACTTTGAAATTCACGTGTAATCTTTGGATTCGCTCTGCAGCATCCTCTCCTTGAGGACAGTGGACCCACCACTCCATCCTCAGGGCAAGATGCGGGACTCCAGAACTCAGTCAGGACACTGGCGCTTGGCAGGGGGATCCTGACTCGAGCTCATCCTCACCATTCAGAGTGCCCCATCCCCATATTTAACTCGCACTCTACAACTCACCTCCAATCCCGGTCCCGTGTCAATTACGCAGCTGCGCTCTGACACTGCCCGCTCCTGCTTATGCCTCAGTGCTTCAGTGCTGGCTTCTGTTCTAGGAGAGGCAGGCCAGATCTTCTGCTTGATCCATCTTGTCTCTCCCTCAGGACCACAGGGCAGCATGTGTCTGGCCAGGAAGACATCTCTGAAGCATCTACTGTCTGACAGTCATGAGACAAACCTTGCCAATGTATATCTCACCCTTCACATTAAAAAGTCTGAAGGGCATTACGGTACTGTATAGCCTGCAGAATCGTGCCAACTTCTAAAGTCAAGTACCAGATTCTGGGGCTGCAGAGGCCTGGGTGCCAGGCCTTGCCCAAGATGGACAGCTGGATTCCTTATACTACCCAGTGGCTTTCCTGCTTGCCTATGAGAATTCCACAATATTCCACCCAGACTACAATGAGTTGACCCGGTTTCTACCCCAAATTGTTACACGTAAGAAGCCTCTTGGAGCTCCGATTTAACATGGGATTTAACATGCAGGAGAAAAGGCTTCCCAGCTAGGCACCTTCATTTCCAAGGTGATTCCTGATTCTGAGGTACATCGAGCAGGACTTCAGGAACAGGACCAAGGTCTGGCTGTGAATGCTGTGGATTTCCAAGATACTGAGCCCAGCCAGACTGCTGAGATCCTGAAGACAGCCCGTGAAATCAGCATGCGTGTGTGCTTCTTTCCCTACAATTATCGCCAAAGAGAGAAGACTGTAATCAGTCTGAAACTAGAGTTTCAGCTCGCTAACCAGGTGCAGCACCAGCTGGCTGGGCCCCAAGAAAGCCATGTGGGGAATTCTCTTCTCAGCCCCTTTCTGGCACAACGGGTGGGGAGGACGCAGAGACATGACAACCAAGCGTGTTACCCACACTGCACTGCCTTTGCAGTTCCCCAGTTTTCTAGATGAGCTTCATTGCCTGAAAGGAGAAGGATGATGAGGGCGAGGATAAGCCTAGCCTGTAGAGAACCCGCTAGAAAAGGTAACTGGCATTTACTAGCTACCACAGGCTAGGTGCTTACCCACGTTAACATTTTGATTATAGGAAAAAAAATGAATCTTCTATCTGATTTTCCAGCCATCTCATCCCATCCTTCTATAAGTTTCGTATATACTTTGGGGACTCCAATGACACACTTATTTTTGTCCCTTCTCTGTCCTTTCCCCTCACAAATTAAACACAACCTGAAATAAACATTGTGAATTTTCAAGAATTGAACATAAAATGCTCTTGAGGCAAGAAAAACTCTTCCAAAGAGAAAAGTCAGTGGGAAAAATAGCAGCACCTTACGATTTGTGTCAGATGTCCCCTGAGCCCTCGTGCAGCATGGGCCTTTTCACAGGTGGCAGAATCTGGAGTGTATGACGCTGGGATTAAGGGTATGTAATTAGTAAATCAGCCCACGGATTTCTTTGGCATAATTCCAGCTAGAACTAAGAGGGTGAGTGCTACACCGGCCCTGTGGCAGGTAGACTACATACAATATAAGGGACAGAAAGGGACTTGTCCCTTCCTCCCTTGTTGTTTTGCCACCTTCTGGCTACCATGAAAAGCTCCCTCTTTCTACTTTTGCTGTCTTCCACCATGCCATGAACCGTTGCCCCTCTGCCAATGTGCCACCCTGCCTTTTGCAGCCAGCCAATTATGGAATGGATCCTCTATAAACTGAGCTAAATCAACTTTTATTTTGTAAAAAAGAAATAATAAAATTAAATCAGGTACCACACAATCACTTATTAATGACAAAGATTGTCCTCTGTGTGCTTCCTCATTTAGTGGACTTTGTCCTCCTGTCCCTTACTACAGCCCAGCAGCTGTGGGAAGCCAGTCCTTTCCTCCCGAGTTGCACGAAAGGCAAGGGCCCTCTCCAAGTGAGACCCCTTTATAACCTGGTTTATGTTCCTTAGCCCCTGCTTTCACCACACCACACCAGCTACTAGGATCTGCAGTGCAGACCTGGCTGGGTCCACTGGTGCACGTCTGTTTCACATGGAGTCCTTGCTTGCCTCGGAGAACAGGCTTTCACAGTAGAGGTGAGCCCAGCACAGCCCAGGGGCTGCAGAATCAAGAGGACTCCTTCTCATGCTGCCCCCAAATAGGTTGCTTGGTTGCTCTGAGACAGGACAAGATTCTGTGCAACAAAGTCCAGGGACGCACTGCCTGATGGGTAACATGGGGTGAGCGGGGCAGGGTTGCAGTGCCTAGCAGAAGGCAGAGGGCCACTTCCGCAGTGCCTGCCAAGGGGAAGTTGCCCTGGATCTGAGTGGCCAGCTCCTCCTCAGGGCCTCAGGGACCAATCCCCAGGTGGTGTGAAAGGTCTTCCTAATGCTTCTTTCTGTCCCACATACATCAACTAAATGTTACCTTTTTGATTTCTATAAAGAAGTGCAACATATATATCCCCCCCCAAAATATTTGATATATTAATGCACAGGATTACAACCAACCATGATTTTTATTTATTTTAGCTTCTAATTTGGGGTTTTTAGATTAATGGAGCATAGTCTGTTCATTTGGGGCTCTTATGTCCAAGGTCTGTGCTTTAGTACTAAGTAGGTGTAATCACAATGTACTTTCTAAATAAAGTAGCTCAACATTTTTACAAATCCTGCTAATTCTTGCTTGTCCTCTTCCAAACCAAACTTTACAGATAGTTTAGACATCTGATATCATACTACTGCAAGAAGATAGAAATATTTATTGTACTAGAATACTATCGTTATTTACTCTTAAATTTATGATTCCCCTCCTTACTGTAGCAATTCTGGATTCCTTAGTAAAAAGAGAAATCAAAAGCAAAGATATCTACAATTTTGGGTTAAGAAGTACAGCCAGGTCTGGTAACCTAAACCATATGTACAGGATATAAACATATTTATACTTTATATACACATAGTTAATGGTAACCTATCCATTATAAATAGTAGGTTTAACTTAGATTCTACAAAAATAATCATTTTGAATGGGTACATGCAAACCAATACACATAAATCTATTTATAAAATACCATTTCAATTTTTTTTTGCTTTTAAATATAAATGTTCCTATTTAGCCATTAGCTAAATGATTTTAATGCAAACCCCAGCATCCCCAGGTAAAAATACAAAATCTGTTTCCATCCACCTGAGCACACGGCTGCAGGTGTGCTCCTCCTCCGAGCCCAGGTCATTGTATCACGTGTGAGTCACAGACACAGATCCCATCTCCCCAGACATCAGACATCCTTCCAAAGTCAATGATTCCTTTATTCAACTTTTAAAAATAATGTAAATAGTAGATATTTCTCAAAATAGCATCAGCCTGTCTTCTACATTCCTGTATAAATGGACACAGTGAGCCTGTTCCTCGCGCGGCAGCAAGCCCAGGCTCAGTGGCCGGCAGAGCCGTCCGCATAGGCAGCCCCCTGCGCAGCCACGAAGGGCTCGCTCTGCTTCTGCTCCTCCTTCACGCCAGCCGCCTGGTCTGTGATGGAGGAGAAGGATAGCTGGTCGTGTTCCACAATGTGCACCTGGTCTTCGTCCTTGTCCTTCTTCACGTAGAACATCTTCCGGAACTTCTTCAGCTCGTGGAGCTCACAGAAGGTCTCCAGAACGACCAGCATGGCAATGAGGCCCAGCAGCAGGTAACCTGTGTGAAGACACCACAGCATCTCAGCGCCATCATCGAAGTCACACAGGAGACTAATGAGCAGGCTTGACAGCCACCTTCCTAATTTCCAGGGAAGTCCAAAGGCCACAGGAAAGTCTACTGCCCCGAGAAAGACCATGAACAATGGCTTCATCCCCAGTGAACCTGGATGATTTACAACCACAGCTACACTGTGGTAAGCAAAGGAAAAAGCTTGGTGTGAGTGCCGCGCGGCCTGACTTGGCACAGAGCTCTCACGCAAGTGAGACTCACATCTGGAGGGCGTCTCACCTGGGCCTGAGGGCCCGGGGCTCGTGAAGAGCCAGCGACGTTGTGACACTGTGGGGAAGTCTTCAATTTATCATGGGCACCTTCCAAGCACTCTGTATTTTTATTGTTATTTCTGATTCAGAACAATAAGTTCAGTAACAGAAATTATAGTTTAAACTACATTAAAATTCCTTTAGGAATTGATGAGACTATTAAACGGGTCTTGGTGTACGACTGTTTACATTGTACCTAAATTCAGCAGCAAGAAGAAATGATAGTTTTTGGACACATGGGTCATTCACTGGCTAATTCTCCAATTTTTTTTTTTTTTTTTTTTTTAAATTCTGAAAAGACAACAGTGTTATTTCTTGGACTTTTTAAATGAGAAAATGGTGATTTTTTTTTTAACATAGTTCCAATATTTTAAAATCAATTTGAGGGGGGACAGTAATCATTATGAAAAGAAACAAAAAAAGTGAAAGTGAAACCCTCCACATAATAAAAATGTCAGTTCATGCTCTATCACTAAAAATGTTTCAGAAGACTTTCAGACCAGGCATGGACCACAAGAGCTAGCACAGGCAGTATAAGGGAGGAACAATTACCCTGAAGAATGCAAAGCTCTGAAACATTCAGAATTGGACTACAAGCTCTGCTAATCATACACCACACGCAACGTGCTCTCTTGAGTTTTAGAAGTGACAATGACACTCTGAGTCAGATTAATTGGTGAAGGTGCTACATGCCTTGATTATTAGTCAAACTCTTGAATGCTGACAGGAATAACCAATTTTCAGAATTTTATCCAACCTACAGTTAAAATACCTTTAGAACTTTCATTTGTTTGATACGCAAGTGCTTAACACTCAGAATATGAACTAGCCCTGGATAGACCAAATAAAAGAATGCATGATCTACATTGTATGAAGTGATGTTATTATGCAAGAATTTGGTATTATATGAAAAGCTCAGTAAGCTAAATTACTAGATAAAATAGAATAAAAATTGGCACAAACAAACAGTATCACCAGCAAACGTAACTACAGAAACATTTACTTCCCTAAGTCATGAAAAATTAAACTTTGGTACTATCCACTTATGAAGAGTTTAAATAATTTTTTTGTTATCAAATCCATACACAGAAAAAAAAAGGCTATAATTCTCGTAGCCAGCAGCACACAGGAGAACTAGTGGCCTGCTCAGGGCACACTGCTGGCCCTGCAGGCTCTGGACACCACAAGCGCTCTGGGCAATGTGGCCTGTGGATCACAGAGAGGCATGTTCACCTTGGACCAGCAAGTGTACTTCTTAGAAAAATACTAAAGTATAAAAAATATAAATACATAAGGGCCAGCCAGATAGCTCAGCAGCCTGAAGTGCCTCTTAGGCAGGCTCAGGGACCAGGGTTCGATCCCCGGCCTGCCATGCTGACCCTGACCCCAGGGCACACTGAGACAGCAATTGAGACTGGGCATAGTGGTGTGCGCCTGTAATCCCAGCTCTTAGGAGGCTGAAAACAGGAGGATCACTATGAGTCTGATCTAGTAGTGAAACCCTGTAGACCCTATACTAAAAATATTTAAAAAATACATATATATGTTATCCACTATAATATTATTTATAACACGCCCTAATTCGAAACCACCTAAATAATCATAGAGAGGCAGGTAGGGGTGGATAATGTGTAGCTATCTGGTAAAATATGACTAAAAATAATACTTAGGAACTATGGCGAATGTCCAGGGAACTTGTAGGTGAGCCAGGCACGGCTGAAAGCACTGGGGATTTAGGAGTGAAGGCTCTGCTCTTGGTAAGTCCTCAGTTTAATGAAAATGTTGGGCTGGGGAGATAGTTCAATAGAATAAGTGCTTGCCTAGCAAGCACAGGGTCCTGAGTTCAATCCCCAGTACTGAAAAAAAAAAAAAAAAAAAAGAAAAAAAAAAGAGAGAAAGAAAGAAAGAAAGAAAGAAAGAAAGAAAGAAGAAAATTAAAAAAAGAGAAAAAGAAAATGTTCAACTGGGCATTGGATGGGATTAAGATAACAACACAGGGCGAGCACTAAGCACCTGTCTGCCTGGGTGTCTACTCGGATTTCCTAGAAGATACTGAACTCTTCTCGGGACAGCAGACTAGAAACTGCATGTATATTATGACAGAGCACCAAAATCTGCAAAACAGGGGAGACTCCCTTGAAAATAAGTGTTTTCTAGAAAATGAAAGGCTAAGATTTTTCAGTAATTATACTGAATTTAAAATAAACATTCTTTGTAAATTAGATATGATTGGCCATCTGATTTTTAAATCCTATTTTATTTTCTGCATATAAAATTCTGAAAATATTGAATCTCTTCTTAAAAAAGAACGATATGCACTAAATTAAACCTCTTCTCCTTAAAAAGAAGAAAAGAAAAAAGGAAAAGAACCAGATGGACAAGTGAGATACAAGTCTGCTTTTTTTCCCTCTTGGTACCAGAAATCAAGCTCAGGACCCTGCACTTGCCAGGCAGGCACTGTGCCACTGAGGTACATCCCTGGCACAAGACTGTTTCAAGAATTTTCTGGTTAATTAAAAAACATAATTGTTAGTTATAGAATCTATGTCTGAGACCTCACTTTCTTACATTTATAATATTTAATAGAATGGAAACAATTTACTTTATTAAAAGTTTGTCATCAGGTACATCCTCCATAGCCTATTTCTATACTGTAATAGAATGCCTATTACATCATTAGTAAGAAACTTATCAGTAGTTTCCAGGCAGGGCTGGAGAGATGGCTCAGTGGTCTAAGGCACCTACTTAGAACAAGCTTAGCAAAGCATCAGGGACCGCGGTTCAATCCCCCAGCACCACATGCCAGCCAGCCCCGCCCCCTGGTGGGCTGAGCTGGCCACACACACACACCACTCTCTCTCTCTCTCTCTCTCTCTCTCTCTCTCTCTCTCTCTCTCTCTCAAATAAATAAAAAAAACAATTAAAAAAAAAAAGTAGTTTCCAGGCACCTCGGAAAAATAACTGGGTACTAAGGTTTCCGCATAAAGATTTTTGATGGGAATCAGGAAACCAAATAGCTGTGAGCAGGTGGCAAAACCAAAAGGCTTTAGTGGCAAGGACAAAAGGCTTTCATGGCAAGGACAAAAGGCTTGCGTGGCAAAGGCAACCAGGATGTCTATGCCTCCTTACTCTTCAGAATGCAAAGTACAGCAAGCAGCCACACAAGTGGGGCCCGAGGGCCCAGATACTCACATGTGATCCCGATCTTGTAGAGCTCTCTGAATTTTTGATTGTAGCCTTCCCCAGGAACATAATCCCCCAGGCCAATGGTGCTCAGGGAGATAAAACAAAAGTAAAAGGATTCGAGGAAGTTCCAGTCATCCTCCAGGACTGAGAACACAGCAGCTGGGATGAAGAAGAAGCAGGACACGGTGACAAACCCGAGGACAACGGCGTGGACAATGGCCACCATCTGCTTGGAGAAGCCCCAGCGGATGTGGAAGTAGAGGACTGGTCTGCGGGTGACATGCACGGTGATGCGCTGGACCACGGCGGTCAGGAACAGGAGGGTGAAGGGGATGCCAATGACCGAGTAGATGATGCAGAAGGCCTTGCCTCCATCCGAGAGGGGCACGGTGTGGCCATAACCTGCAAGGACAGGAGGCTGACTGAGAGAGGAGTGCTAGGGACAAAGACACGAACAAGCTTTTAAGCCAAGTAAGTCAGCCGGCTGCCTGTATTACTCTCGAACTGCATGAGACTTCAGCTCTGACCTTTAAGAAGAATCCAGCATGTGGTTGCACTGGTAAAACTCACCTGTAGATGCCACGCATTGGAAGGCCACCAGTCTACAAAATCTGACGAGCTCTAGTTCTCACACAACGTGCTCTAGTTTAAGAGCTACCTTCAAGCTGAGCAGGAAGAAGTTCTGTGGGTTACAGTGCTGGCCCGTATCACCTCAGACCAAGAAGAAAAGCCTACGATGGGACAAGTGCCTGTCAGAGCTGACACATGGCATCCAGGAGGGTCTAAACACAGCTACGCCCCCAGTCAAAACAGACTAACAGAATGTTTTAACCTCAGTATCTGACAAATAAAGGTGTGTGAACAGAAACAAGCTCCTAAAGGGAACTGGGAGGTTGGAGTGGCATCATTTAAGATGTAGACAGCAAATGGGAGGATAAGAAATGAGCCAAAGTTGGGAGTGGCAGTGCCTTTAATCCCAGCACTCAGGAGACTGAGGCAGGAGGATCACTCTGAGTTCGAGACAGCCCGGGCTACAAAGTGAGCTCAAGGCCAGCCTGAACTACATAGAGAGATCCTGTCTCAACAAAATAAAACAAAATAAGAGTCAGAAGCTTATTAACTCCAAGACTGCCCAAGTCTTTTACCCAATTATTGTATTCAGTGGAATGACACATTAAAAAAAAACCAAACCTATACGTTTCACCCCTTGTCTTTCAAATATTCAAGGATGCCATAAATTCCCCCCCAAAACACTGAAATAATTACATTAGGACCAGTGGTTACAACACATTACTTTCCACAAGATTTGAGTCATTTGCAAATTGCCAAACCAGGACAAATGCCAGCTTGAGGACCCAGTTAGGTAGGAGGACTGCTAGGTGACTTAAAAACATCTCAGGAGTCCTTTATCCCCAAAGGGTATGCAGGTCTGAACAGGTCAGTTCAAGGAAAAGCCAACTAAGCTCACTTTAAATTGGTCAGACCTCAAAAAACAGATTCTTGCATATAACTGAAAAGCATAACTCCTTCTAAGAAGCCCTCAGTTACAGATTCGAATTCTCTTCTTCACACTGAAGGCCCAGGGCTGTGAGTTAGAACAGAGCTTCCTCGGCTGTCCTTAGCTTGCCGTCCCAGGAGGCAGACGGCTGATGAATGAGCTACAGCACATCCCAGGAGTGCCCCGAAGTCATACGCAAATGCTCACATCCACTCACATATGTCTGGGTAGGTGGAGCTTCCGGAGTATTGGTTCTCCTAGCAGTGCATGCTCCCATGGGGCTGAGAACCATGCTCTGAGAGTCAGTTCCGGAATGCATCTGGTCCCCGTGTACCCAGCAGCTCCCAGGATGCAGTAGAGTTAATCTAAAGAGGGACATGGGCAGGTTGGAGCACTCACAAGTGACAAAGGATGGTGACAGTGTACACCGAGCAGTGTTCACGCGGCATGTGGAAGTGAGAAGGCTGAGATGTTTATTTTTATTTATTTATTTATTTATTTATTTATTTATTTTAGATTTTTATTTATTTATTTATTATTTATTTATTTAGTGTGTGTGTGGCCAGCTCAGCCCACCAGGGGGGAGGGCTGGCTGGCATGTGGTGCTGGGGGATTGAACCAAGGTCCCTGTGTTTTGCTTAGCTTAGCTTGTTCTAAGTAGGTGCCTTAGACCACTGAGCCATCTCACCAGCCCCCAAGATGTTTATTTTTGAGGGAAAAGAGTAGGACCTGTTGGAAGAAAAGCTACCTGTGTCATAAAAGCACAGGGACCGATGGCAGCTACACTTTTAGTCAGGCATGAGGAAGAGTATTCTGATAATCAGAGATACCTGGATATAAGCCCTAAGCATGAAATTTTACTTAACCAAAACAAAGCCAGATTTAGAATTTAGTTACAAGGCTATGTCTAAAGGCACTCAGGGAGGCAGAGATGGCAAGGTGTGGATCAACTTTCACAGGATCATGCTGAGGAAATACACATCAGTCAAGCCTGCTGCAAAAGCTGTAAATCCATAATTTCCTTTTTGGGGGGATATCTTAAAAACAGCTTTCTTAAAAGTGTGACACACCTATCCCACAGCCTATATTAGAGTGTTAAGTAAATTTCATGTTATCTTTGAGCAATAATCATTACAAGATCCTAAAATCTCATCATAAATGGTATTTTCATGGCAGCAAGAATCCCACTGAGGTAAAAAACCTCCAGCTCGTAGATTCTTACTGATAGCCATTAGTTTTCTTCTTTTGATGTTTACATAAATAATGTTAGTGGAAAGCAAATGTAAAATGTGGATCTCATCTGTATCCCTCACACACTCAGTGCGTGGCTCCCGAGGAAGTCATCCCCAGCAATCCTCCTGCAACCCACAGCTTCACACATCTGCGAGAGCTTTCAGCCCTGCTGAACACTAATGAGATGACCAAGAACTGGTCAGGTTCAATCCCCTCAGCCTCCAGACAAATCAAAAAATAAAACTCACATTTCCAAGCATGAAACAAAACTCGTATGAACATTCACTATAAATAATGACAAACTTAGCAAAACTCAGTGCAGTTAGCACATGTGGAGCCCTTTCCATTTTTCCTGAGTCTATTCACATACTGTAAGGCCCAGAAAGGCTGAGCTTATATACAAAACTGACTCCACTGGGATAAAACCACCTGCTCGCTGCTGCTGCGTTCCCTCTTGCAGCTCTCCCCTGCGGGCAGTGTAGGACGACGGCTAATCGGGTGGACGGCAGGCAGTCTGTTAGGAAATGCAGCTTCCCAGGTAGCTGCTCCACCTGCAGTGGCTGCAGCAGTGTGCTTACTAACAGCCACTTGGGCTACGCCACATTACACATGGGCCTTTAGGCTTTCTTGCAATTTAAATCCTCCTGAATGAGGTCTAAGACAGAGAAACTTTGGAGGCTACCTTGTGTATCAGAGCAAGTCATCACTGCCCCCCAAAACTTCTTCATTGGTACCTGATGCTTTTCAGAGAGCTACAGTCAGCCATGAACACACATTATAATCCTACCCTTATATAAAAAAAAGCATTCTCATTTACCTGCATTAATTAGTATGACATGGAACAATGTAGCTATGCTTCACTGATACAGGATTTTTAAAAAGACTACAAAACAGTCTTGGCCTCTGACATCAATCCCAGTGGAAACCTGTTACTCCCTGCAGTGTTTGGGGGCCTGGCCCTAGCTCAGTTCTTTAAGTGGCTGCTTCCACAGAGCTGTCAGCCTCAGGTGGTTGTAGTTCGATCCCCACAACCCTGCAGCCAGCCAAAAGTGCCCTGAAGGCATTTGAGGAGGAGGAGAAAAAAAAAAAATCCTTATTCCCTGCAGTGTTTCCTCTTATGAGAGTCCAACTTTCCTTCCCAGCCCTGGATTTCACCTTACTCATCAATTCTTTCTCAATGGACTGTGTGTCCTGGGAGGGAAGACCAGGTCCTCCTGCACTTTAAAGCCATCCAGCTCCCAAACCACAGCAAGCAGTACCCTGGAGCTACAGGTCCTGGAATCCAAAGGCCCAAAAACACTGAGCTCTGATGTCCAAGGGCGGGGGACAATGGACTTCCCAGCTCCTAGCTGGGCCCTAAAGAGAGCGATGCTGCTCGGGCACTCCAGAGAGGGGTCTCTTCTTACCAAGCCCTGTGCTGTCTTCTGGAAACGCCCTCCCAGACACATGCAGAAATAATCAACAGTCTGGGCATCCCTGACCTCAAGCAATAAAAATGAACGGAAAAAATAAAATGAACCATTACCATTGGGGAAAGCGTTATAACGTGTAGATTCTACTGTTATCCAGGTACAGTGAGGCCCACAGATCAGGAGATGACTGGGCCTGGAATGACAGCTTGTTACAGGTGCCAAGAGTAGGGACACATCCCACTAGGGGAGATGGAACGGGGCCATCCCAAGGTGATTAGGAGACAAAGGAAGGAAGGGCCCCTGCTGTGGCCTCTGCAAGGACAGGGCAAAGCAGGGCACATGGCACTGGGATTGGCTAGTTTGAACAGTTTCTGTTAACTTGGAAGTGCAGGGATGTCTGCAGTCACCTGGTGTCTGCACTGGGGTGGCTACAGCAGAGCGACAACTGCCCCATGGTGAGAGCCTGAGAAAAGGGGTGGGACAGCGTGGTCTGGATGGTGTGATTGTGTCTACTTAACTTAGACAGCTAAGTTAGGTAGGAGTATTAGAGGCAGTCAGACAGGGCTAGGCCTTCAAAGGAGCCAAGGTAGACCAGATAGGATAGAACTGAGGTGGGGGGCAGGAGAGACACCTTAGCTGTGGACCAGACCTCAAGGCAAAAGATAAAACAAATGCACCCATTTACTTATCCTAAGGATAAACAACAATGATTCAAGTTCTAAGTAGGTATCAACCACCCTGAGGAAACCAACTAGAGCCACTGACCTTCTATCTTTGGGACAGAGGTTTTCTTCCCCCAATAAATATATTCTGCTCTTAACCTCTGTTGTTCCTAAAATTCATTCTTTGATTTTAGTGAAAATGAACTTGTACCAGATCTAGCAAGTGGGGAGTTTGTTTCTCCATATCAATGTGTGTGTGCAAAGCACACTCAAATGTGAATCCACTACTGTCCAGGACTGGGTAGCCCTGGGAGGGGCAGATCATTCTGGTCTCTCAAGCTCCAGGATGCCAACAAATCAAAACAACAAGACAGACTTTGCACCTATAATTGGTGGTACTGGGCCCAAGAGCTTGCTCTAGTAGCCAAGCCAGGGAGATTCCAGCAGAATAGAGGAACGGGAATAGGGAGGACACACTGGACAGTGCTGAAGAGAAGGTCAGGAAATCAGGCCCGTGAAGAGTATCATGTCCGTAGCTTGTTAATCCATGCTGAGGCTCCCAGGGCTAGGACAGCATTTGGATGAGAAAACGAAGGT